GCCTGGGTGATTGGGGAGGCTGTGCCACTGGATCCCACAAGACACCTACTACATTAGGCCACTCTATCAAGCCTAGGAGACATAGCAGCTCTAACTAATACATAGAAACAAACACAGGGAGGCTGCTAAAATGAGGAAATGAAGAAGCATGGCCCAAATGAAAGAACAGAACAAACTCCAGAAAAGAGAACTAAACAAAATGCAGACAAGCAATCTACTAGATGGAGAGAACAAGACACTGGTTATAAGGACACTCAGTTCATTGAGAATCTCAACAGTATAAATAAGAATCAGTCAGAAATGAAGAATACACTAACTGGAATAAAAAGTAATATAGGGAATCAACAGTAAAGTAGATGAAGCCAAAAATCAAACCAGCAATTTGGAATATAAGGAAGCAAATACCCCTCAGAACAGCAAAAAGAAAAAAAGATTAAAAAAGTGAGGATAGTGTAAGGAACCTTTGGGACAACTTTAAACATACCAACATTCACATCATGGGGGTGCCGGAAGGAGAAGAGATAGAGCAAAACATTAAAAACCTATTTGAAAAAATAATGACTGAAAACTTCCCGAACTTGGTGAAGGAAATAGACATACAAGTCAAGAAAGCAAAGACAGTTCCAAACAAGATGAACCCAAAGAGGCCTATACCAAGACACACCATAATTAAAAAGCAAAAGGTTAAAACAAAGAGAGAATCTTAAAAGCAGCAAGAGAAAACCTATAAGGGAACTCCCAGAAGACTGTAAGCTGATTTCTCAAAAGAAACTTTGCAGGTCAGAAGGGACTGGCAAGAAATATTCAAAGTGATGAAAAACAAGGATCTACAACCAAGATTACTCTACCCTGCAAAGCTATCATTTAGAATCCAAAAGCAGATAGAGCTTCCCAGAGAAGAAAAAGCTAAAGAAGTTCATTATCACCAAACCAGCATTATATGAAACTAGAGGCCCGATGCACAAAAATTCGTGCAAGAGTAGGCCTTCCTTCCCTCAGCTGCTGGCACCAGCTTCTTTCTCCAGCTGCCGGCAGGCACCCAGGACTCGGGCTGGCTTCCCTTGGGCCACCCGCAGGCATCCGGGACCTGGCTGGCTCCCCTCCAGCCCCGGCTTCATCAGGAATGATGTCCGGAATGACGCCTGAAAGACGTCCAGTCTAATTAGCTTATTACCCTTTTATTATTATAGATGTTAAAGGGTCTTTTTTAAGAAGACGATTAAAAATACAACAATAAAATGGCAATAAATACATATCTATCAACAAGTGAACCTAAAAACAAAATAAACAAACAAGCAAAACAGAAACAGACTCACAGATACAGAGAACATTTTGACGGTTGCCAGATGAGATTGTCAAAAAAAGGTGAAAGGTTTAAGAAGTAAAAATTGGTTGTTACAGAATAGTCATGGGAATGTAAAGTACAGCATAGGGAATATAGTCAATAATATTCGAATGCTATAGTATATGGTGTCAGGTGCAAGATTTATTGGGATGATCACTTAAGTTATGTAATGCCTAATCACTGGGATATACACCTGAAACTAATGTAATAATGTATGGCAACTGTAATTGAAAAAAAAATGATTTAAAAGACTTTGTACCACAGGCATTTTGGGGGGCTTGGTATTTCACAGTGAGATTTCATATCTAGGTTGATGAAAGCAAGTCTAAAACCTAACAGAGAAGTCAGCTTCCTAGATATTTCTTACCCACCAGTAAACCATGCACCATCAGTTGAATTTGCCATAAATGGATGGAGAAGAAAGTTAGAACCAAGAACTTATAAGAATTAGAGAGTGCATCCCAAAGAATGCACACATACACATCTTTTTAGTTGGAAAATATTTCAGCCTGAGAGTCCCAGGCTTTCTTTTGACTCAAAATAGCACATAATTCTTGTAAATCATACGATGTATCTTATTTATCAGTGACACAGCAGCAAGCGAAACCAGAAAGCAGGAAATCAAATAAAACTACAGGCTGAAACATCAAAGCCTGTGGGAAGCCTAAGCCCTCATGATAAACCTTATGGCATGGCTTCTTGCAGAAGTCATGCTACAGATACAAATCCAGACCTCTTAGCAGAGGGGGTTGTTATGCTTCATAGGCTCCGTAAGAAAGACCCAGATGAGATAAGCTCAGCTGCCTATAATAATTCACATGTAAAGCTTCCTATTATTTCCAAAATTGGGTTTCAGATTGAAATACCTACAGAAAAAGCAATCAGCCCTAATTTTCTAGGCCTCTTAAAACATTCCATTTACTTGATAAATAAGGTCTGTAGCCTTTGGGGCACCAAGCACTTTTAGAATCAAAATGAATTATGAAAGTTCCTCTACTTGTTCATAAAGCTCTCTCCAAAAAAAGACTGCTCTCTCTTTATCTGAGGTCCTCTGTATTATCATTCTAATGGATTTAATCTAATATCAGTGCAACCCTCAGATCCATCTGAGGCCCAACTGCGTAGTATATCATTTGCTACTATACAAAAGAACTCTGCTGATCAGTATCTAGAATCTTGCACTATGAACAGGAAATAAAATTCATTCTGTAATTTGAACCTTCCTGGTTTATGAAGTAGGGCTAGAGTGTAAGACATAATAACAAATAACACACAAAAAGAACTAAATAGGCTGAGAAGCTTCATGATAACCAATGAGATAAATATGCATTTTCCTTATAGCATCCATTTATCTATTTCTTCAGTCAAAATTTGTTGAAGGTTAAATTACATGTTGAATTTAACATATCATTGTGGAGTCCAGGCCACTGCACTCTTTCTCCTGAATTACTGCAATAACCTGCTGCTAATTAGCTTTTTCTTCATTCCACCATTGTCTTCTCTTAGCTTTCTCCACTCAACATTCAGTGATCTAATATACAGATCTGACTATGTGAACCCCAGATTAAAACTTTTCAGTGCCTTGGCAATGCACGTAGCATAAAATTCAAATCAGCCCTATGTGGTCTCACCTCCTTCCCAACTCCCCAGCCTCCTTTAATGCCACTCTTCCACTTACTGTCTGTACTCTAGCTATACTGGACTCTCTCATTTCCGTAAACTCACAGTGCTAGTCTAAGTTAGATGTGTCACCTACATGCTCTTACATTACCCCGTACATAACTCTATTGTAACATTTTCCCACTTTATTGTATTCACTGATTTGTTTGTTTTGCCTCTCTAGAATGTAAGCTCCTCTGATGTCAGACAGACCATACTTTGTCAGCTTTGCACTCCTAGTTTCTCATAGTGCCTGACTCAATAAATGCTTGTTGAGTGATTGACCAAGTGAAGGAAAATACAGAAGACAGCAGGAGGAAGAGCTAGACTAGGAAAAGATACTGTTTGTTTTTAAGTATATTAAGGTGTTGGTTTAGTAGAGTAGAAATGGGCAAGAAGTTAATAAAGAGATCAGGTCTGCAAATACCGATTTTATCCAATGACAGAACTATTAAGTGTTCTTAAATGATTTAATGGCTGAAGTGATGAGAATGGGACTTTAAAATGGAATTAAAATGAAATCTAAATTACTCATATGATTTATGAGTAACAGAATAAAAAAAATGACAAACTAACTTTAATTTATAATTCAAACATTCTTAACATATATAAAATAATTGATTACACTGCCATTTGGAACACTGTTAAACAAATTTGTATTACCTTTATATTATGGGGCCAAAAAAACATAATTCTGTTGGCTCCTTATCAAACTCGAGATTAGATCACAAGAAGTTGATTCTTATCTCATTTAATACACTTAAATTTTCATCATGTAACTAAGAGTTGCCCATTTAAATGCAATGATTTAGATCTGAGAGTGTATGGGTATTATTTTTATTACTATTATGACTTTTGTTAATATTCTATGACTTCTAACAGACATCTTTCTTAACATAAAAAAAAAAATATTTAAAACTGAAGCTTGATCTTATGAAGACACTCCACAGCCAGTGCCACCAAACACTTTCCTTTTTTTTTATGTTGGTAAGATTTAAAAGAAAACCTCACCAGCATTAATTTTTTTTAAGTATGTATATGTATTATCTATACAATAAATAACTTTAAAAGTAGTATCAATGATCAATACAGCCAGAGGTAATTAGGAAAAATGTGTAAAGCTATTCACATTTCTAGGACTGAGAATTTGTTATACTAAAAGAACAAGTTTTCGAAGTGCATAATACCAAACCCAATTCCTATTTATTCTAATCATACAAAGTTAACTTTAAATCTTGCATTATATGTATTTAGCTGATTTTTAAGTCCAAGAATTAGAAAGCAGTAGTGCCAGGAAAAAATGCTTTAATGATTTTTAAAATTTTAAATTGGGGTAAAAACACATAACATAAAATGTATCATCTTAACCATTTTTATGTTTACAGTTCAGTAGTGGTAAGTATATTTACACTGTTGTGCAACAGATCTCCAGAACTTCTTCATCTTGCAAAACTGAAACTCTATATCCATGGTATAGCTCCCCATTTTCCCTCTCCCCTTCTTTCATGTTGCTATGAATCTGACTCCTTTAGATAACTCATATAGTGAAATCACACAGTTGTCTTTTCATGACTGGCTGAATTCACTGAGCATAATGTCTTCAAGGTTCATTCATGTTGTAACATATGACAGGCCTTTCTTCCTTTTTAATTCCACTGTATGTAGTACATACCACAATTCATTTATCCATTCATCAATAGACATATGGGTTGCTTCTACCTCTTGGCTATAGTGCTGCTATAAATATGGTATGCAAATATCTCTTCAAGATAAAAATTTTTAATCAATTTTAACCAATGATAGAACTGGTGAGTATCCCAAACAAAATGTCTGCATTATGTTACTGATAAGCAGTTAGGGAAAAAAAAGTGTCAAAACACCAAAATGTGACAATGGAAAAGAATAAAAGACTAAAACTGAAATTAAGCATACCATGTTTCTATTTATGTATGGACAATGACTATTCATCTTACACAGTAAAATGTAGCCTCCTTACCAGTAATTATTACACCATCATCTTTATGAGTTTCGGCCATCTCTTGAACTTGGACTTCAGAGCTCACATTGACCTCTTTTCCTGATAACTGTAAATGAACTTGAAGAGAAGATGGGACCTTGACAAGAACAGAGCCTGTAATAAGTTTATAAGGAAGCTTATTAATGCAAAGAAATCAAAAGTACTAGAGCCTATTACAAAAATTAATGAATGGGTAGCATTGCTCCTGGCACACTGTCTTCTCCTTACTCATGGAGGTCAGGGGGTGTCAAGGTTTTCTTACTCCCAAGGCATTCACAGTAACTTCTGTCAAAAGTATGAGTTACTAGAACAGTGTGAACTATTTCTTCTGTCAAAAGCTCTCATCACAGAAAAGTGAGTGGTTTATTACACATGAAGCTTGTAGAAAGGATTTATCATTAATTGAGTATTTACTAAGGTATAATGTTATTATACCTTAATCACATTATTTCTTTAAATCTCCATACCAACATTATGAGGTATTACTATAATCCTTATTTTACAGACGAGAACTTGCTCAAGTTCCCATTAGAGCTAGTGTTAGAATCTAGATCCAGTTCAGTGACAACAAAACCCATGCTCTTAACCACTGTGGGATTTCACACACTGCTATGCTACCTCATCGTATTACAAAACTTGTGACCGCAATGACCACTGTAACACAACTAGAACCTTGAGGTCTTGTGCCTTCAGTTATACCTTGTAGGGGCCAGGGGGATAACAATAATAAAAAAAGAGAATATTTAAATTTTAACTGATTCTTTTCAATGGATTACAGTCTTTGGGTACCTAGGGCAAGACACTCAACTTTATTCCCACTATAATCTTGTAGTAATTCAAGTGTCTAAAGGAAGAACTAAGAAAAAGTATCCTGTTAGCTAAGGAATCATTTTTGAAACAATGACGTGGGTTGCAGTGCCAACTCATCCGCACAGTCCTCTTTCAGAACTTTTTCTTTCTCTGTTTCTCATATATCAAAAAAGAGGCCGCTGCCATAAAACATTAACCTCAGCTCTGTGAACAAGACAGTCAGAATGACATCCATTGTGAATATTTTAAAGATTCTTTCTAGAATGTTACGGGTCATTGTTTGCCTCCTACTTTGGTTAACATCAGTTTAAGTTTCTGTAAGTAATTTCATATCCTGTTAGCCTTCCTAACTAGAGCTGCAAGTTTGGGGTAAGACTGATGAACTCTAATATGTATACTCCTGCAAAAAAGTGGGTAACAAAGCACATCACTAAAACTGGTTTATTTTATTTAAAAAACAAATTGCTTTTCAAAGTTTAAATGTAACTACTGACAGGAGATTCCCTAGAACAACAAATATGAGAACTTTAGGAAAAAAACAACCCTGAAAAATTTCCAAATGAATGGAAAAGATGTTTATCTATCAAACATACTTTAAAAAGAAAATAACAAACTTTAAAAACTTTTTGGGGACTTTGTGTCTCTAAATACATCAATGTGATAATGTTTTCCTGTTCTTAAATGAAGAGATCGTGAATCTGTGAGCTTTAAAAATATTAAGCAATGCAAACAGCATTACCCCATCTCGATATACCCTTTAAAAACAAAACCATCACTACCAATACTCCATTACTGTTTGCAAATGAAGAATTCTCATGACTTGAAAACTCCCAAATGTCCCCTCTTTAACACGATCTGTTGTTTTTGTTTGTTAGTTTGTTTTTTAGAAAGGAAAGTTGTTATATCTTCAATCTCTTTTCACTTCATAAACTGCTTCATGGTTATCAATATCAGTACCGTTCTTTAAAAAATTCAAAAGTTAGTATTAAAACTAATACTAACAGCACAATTTATTGAAGGCATACTATATTGAGATTAGTGGTTTTATCAAGGACAAATTTTAAGTATAAAAGTCAGTATTCAGATGCAGGCCTGACTCTCAAGCGTAATCTCAGCCTTTCTGAATGAATTAATAAGTTCCCATGTTGATTTTCATTGGGAGAGAGAAAACAAGCATTATAACATTCTTTTTCACATGACAAATGTTGAAAAACTAGGAGACTCAAGTGGCTCTTGAACCCTACAGCAAGACAGTGGTAGAGTTGGAAAGGATTCCAGATGTCTTTACTAACCATTAAGCAACAGAATCCCAATTAAGTTTCCATTACTCTGAAAAGTCACTGTTGCCAAATGTAGTGAGAATTAAAGAGAACTAAAATAAGATAGGAATCTTTGTTTCCAGTTATCTTTAAGCTTCTACCAATAACATGGTTTCAGTCGGAGAAAACACAAAATTGTAATCCTAATCAACATTCCAAATAACACTGAAAAATATTTCAAGTGGATGAAGATTAACAATGTTTTTACTTTTCTGCCCATCCATACACAACAGGAAAAAACTTGCGTGTAAAAGCTTTTACTCTATTACTAGTTACATTAAATGCAGTAATTGTAGGTTTTCTTCTCCTTTTCAAATGCAATTATATGACTTTTTTGGCACTCAAAAAATACACTGAATAGCATTAATGAAGCTCTTAGAAATTTAGTCAGAACGTGATATGATTTAAAGGGAAAAAAATTGATCTTGAGAAATCAAATCACACCTGTGTGTCAGCAATAACTTCAGTTTCAGACCTCTGCAATTGTAGTTTTATTTTGACACTCTGATAAGTGAGCCTCGTTGACAACAACAACAAAAAAAGTATTAAACCAATGTGGGAAAGAAATTACCAACAGCAGGAACAACCAGTCTCTGTAAGGAAGTATTTTCCTTGTTATACATATAACCCTGTTCTGGCCAATATACAAGAGCTTCTAGACTTTATTTTTTAACGACTTTTATACAGAGTTATGGTTCATAACTTTCTGCACAGGCCACTTCAGTCCCTATGGCCAAGTTACTCCAAGTACCCAAGCCACTTGCCAGCATACATGTGTGCATGTCCATGTACAGTCTTCAGATGACTAAAAAGTGTACCACTTTTAATGAAAGACCTGGACGCTTAGAATAAGTTATTTGAAATAAGATTATAGAAGGAAAAACAAAATAAGCTTTTTATTTATTTATTTATTTTAGAGAGAGAAAGGAATGGGGGGAGAGGCAGAGAGAGGGGGAAAAAGAGAGAGAGAGAAATCGACTTGTTATTCCACTTATTTATGCATTCACTGGTTGCTTCTTGTATGTGCCCTGGCTGGAGATGGAATCTACAACCTTGGCCTATTGGAGCTACTAGGCCAGAGCCACATAAGAAGTCTTGATACTTCAAAAGACTAAGTCAATAATCACTTTAGAAGACCCTCCTGGTGATACCTTTATTTCAGGATCACATTTTGAAAAGAATTATTCTAGAGTGATGGCCTCAGAGGGTCCACGTACAGACTGGTAGAAAAGCTTCCAAAGAGAGCATTTTCCAAGAATATTATATTTCAGACATAAAGCTAAATTGAAAAACACTAACACTAAAACTTTTTATAATAATAGCAAATCACTATATTATAACATTTTTGTTGGAACTACAAAGGGAAAGACAGTCTTCATGGCCATCTTTCCCCAATGTTTCTCTAAGATCATTGGTCTACAGAGTAGTATTTCAGTCTTTAAATCAGTTTCTATCAGAAGATATGTTCTTGAGGCCATTGTTACCTGCCTTAGGAAAAGACAGGAGAGGGGAAAAGCCACTGAACATCAGAGGAAACCAGGTGGGCTAGGGCCAGGCAGGGCTGCTGGGGGAGCCATGAAGACTACACAGAAGAGAGGGCAGAAGATATGTTCTTGAAATCATTGTGTCAGTACCACAGATAAGATAAATTGACCATCTGTTTCCTGAATGTTATGTAAAACCTTCCTTACACCACATGTCAAAATAAGATATTTCCTTTGGCTAACCTTTATGGGATTTCAATTCCACCTTCCCCAGTTGGCTGACATAAACATCTAAGGCACCCTGATGAGTTGAGGCTTTTAGACATCCAGAGGACGAATCTAGGAGAAAGGAAAAAAGCTATAAGCATAATCATTCTTATTTGAATAACTGAAATTATAAACTTGAAATAAAAAGCTTTGCTTCAGTATTAGGATAATGAGCTAAGAATCTTGCATGGTTTTATAAATATTTCTTATAACTATGCCATCTTCTGCTTAAAAATGAAAGCAAAAACAGAAATCTAGAATTATACGCCCAGACAATAAAAAATCCCTATGTCTACAGTAACCTGCATAACTTATCTCTAAACATCTAAGGCACCCTGTCTAAACATGTTTACTGTAACACCCAATGTTTAGGAAGGACAGTACACAAGTAATGAATCCTTGACAGCCAAGACCATTAAGCATCATTGATACATTTAGTTTATTATCAACTTTCAATCTTTACTAAAGAATTATATCTCGTGTACAGTCAACATATAAGTAGTGGCAAAGTTAACAAAAATTAAAACCTCATATTTTCTCCTCATCAAATTTGCTAGTACTAGAAAGTGCTGCTCAGAGTGAGAGATTACTCTATATAAGGTTTTGTTGCATTTCTGAGAGACAGAAATGGGGGCAGGGAATCACTTGAAGAGTGAGTGAAGCTCTTTATATCTAAATATTTTTTTTCAAGTTTCTGGAATTGAACAGATATCTTAAGTCAGGGAAAGAAAATCATAATTAAGGTGGTCCTAATTTGACACACAAATTTCTTTATGTCATCAATGACTTCCATTTTCAATCAGCCAACATATCAAGTTCAAGACAGAGATAAAGAAGTAAGAGCATGATGTTGAAGAGTCTCGGTGCTAAGTAGCTTCTCCTTCTTTCTCCTCTCCATGGCAACTGAACCTTTAATTGAATATTCTGACTGCCCTGAAAAGCCAAAGCATATTTTTTTTTAGAGAGGCCTCTTAAAAAACATATTTTATCTGGAGCTTTTATGGCTTCAAAGTGGAAATAAAGTAAGTAGGGAGTGTGATGAAACTAATGCCAAAGATGATACTATTATACTCCCTCTGTCCCATAATAATAGTAGCAGTTGATGAATGTAATTTGTCCCATAATAATAGTAGCAAAAGAAAATATAGAAAGCAACATTTATTATCAAAAAACTAGATTAAATTAAACAATAAATTAAAAATAGTACTCCTAATTTTTATTTTGAGTGTTCAGA